GGGTGTCTGTATGGCTATGTCGGCTCCCTGGGTTACAGGGGTCTGTATGGCTGGGGTAGACCCTATTTTGGTTCTGCCTATTGCAGCCCTTACTCCTACCGCTACAACAGGTACCGCCGTGGCAGCTGCGGGCCCTGCTAAATCCTACAGAAATATCCAAAGCCAGGTATAATTGACACATGGAATGTGGTGGTTTCACAGCTGAAGAGATTTGAACCTCCACTGCTCTGGTCCAAGACCATGGAGCTCTGTCCCTTCAGCCTCTCTTCAATTTCTTCTCCTAACTTCTATTTTAAGTTTCTGCCCTAATGCTTCTCCTTTCACATTTCCATATTGCCTGGGGTAAACACGTAACAAAGTTGCTCAAAATGGTTCCTGTTTGTTCAGATCAACAACTAAGACTCAGGAAGAAGAAAAAAAAAAAATCAATCATATGTGAATGTAATCCTCACTGGAGAAGTTTCCTGCTTCTTGGAGATTCTGAAACTGTATTCCTTTTCTCAAAATCATTAAAAGTTTCCTGCATCAAAGTTGCCATGTTCTGGTGTTCTTTTCCCATGTTTTTACTCTTGTTATTTGTCTCAGAAGTCTAGCCTGTGCCGCTGTCAGTAACCCTAAATTCTGTAGATTAACATCCTGCCCAAAAAAACAGGGATTTCAAATGTACAAAAGCAGTGTGAAGCTCCTCAGCACAGAAAGAACTGCTGTCTTGCCCTCTCCATTTTTCAGATAGAGGTTGTTAAGATTTTTTTTTAAGGATCTGGCTTCTTGTTGTACATCCATTGGTTACAGATCAGTAGCAGCAGAGAAACAAAACAGCAGATTACTAATTTTTAAAACTCTTTGATTAAAAAAATGAGACTTCAGTAAGAATTTCTTCCTGGTAAGTCTCTGATTAATCTTTTTGAACTTCAGGTTCTCACACAAATACTTAAACTCTGCCCTCAATAGCAGTCTCTGGAAAAAGTTTTCAATAATTTTCTGTCAAATCCTCAAATAAAGTTTTCTGGGACATACAATGGAACTTTTAAATACAGAATATGAGTAATGATCTTTCTGTATAATCATTAAATGTAAGGTGTGGGATGATTTTTTGGTGGAAAAACAGCTACTCCATGCAGCTACCCCAAGGACTAATTCATCTGTGCTACCAAGAACAGCTGGAACAGAGAGAGGAGAGTTACGGTGCCTGGAAGCTTAGAAGGTGGAAGAAAAATCATAACCCTGTATGATTTATAACACATCCCCAACACTGTTATTGTGTTTCCAAATTCCTCCTCACAACAGAAGCTCCCATTTTCAGCAGCTCTAACTTTCAGCCTCTCCCACGATATTCCCCATCCAAGAGGTCCATCAGACACTCCACCCACCTCTGAAGAGCTCTTGTCCTTGTTGCAGCTCCTCCAACTCTCTCCTTCTCTGCGGTTCCATGCCAATACCCTTCTGACCCCTCTCTCGCCACCTCCCTAAATCCCTTTCCACTCAGGAGCACCCCTCCCACCTGAGGTCCTCAGCTGCCACTTGTTTCTTCATAATCTTCTCCCAAATGTGTGCACTGAGCCCAAGAAAAAGTGAGTGACTTCACTGATAGATGGGTCATTTCAGCTGTGTTTTTGAAGTCTGACCCTCATCCTACATAAGGATTTGATTTTTCCCCATCTACAGAGAGGAGAATTGTATTCCACAGCATGAGAAATTAAAACAAAGAGTTGATTTTTTTTTAAATGCAGAGTAGAATCACTTTAATGAGAAATAGACATTGACAGAGAAGCATTGCAAAATGTCAAGAATATGCATAACAGTGCAGGTGATTCCTTCCATAGTTGTTCTTCTTCAGTTGGACAGTGAAGTGTCATTTCAAAAGAATATAAATTACTTGGTTTATCCCACCCATTATACACATACATGGAAAAAAGCCCCAAAGACCATGAGAAGAGGGTAAAGAAATTAAGGAACTGCTGTGTGCTCCCAGATCTACTGCAGTGGGGTGGCAGTGATCAGGATTTCACAACATCAGGATTGTATCTCTCAGTTGCCGGTTATTCCATACTCAGGGAATATTTCTGTACTATTTAGCAGGGCCCGCAGCTGCCACGGCTGTACCTGTTGTAGCGGTAGGAGTAAGGGCTGCAATAGGCAGAACCAAAATAGGGTCTACGCCATACAGCCCCCTGTAACCCAGGGAGCCCCCATAGCCATACAGACCCCCGTAGCCCCCATAGCCATACAGACCCCCATAGCCATAGCCCCCATAGCCATAGCCCCCATAGCCCAGGGAGCCATAGCCCCCGTAGCCAAGGGAACCCCCAAAGACGGGTGCTCCAGCAGATCCCACAACTGAATCCTGGGGGAAGGAGCTGAGGATGGGGCCGGGTAAGGTGACAACAGCTGGAGGTGGCTGGAGCAGTGGTGGAGTCAGGGCACTGGCGGACGCAGGGCTCGTTGCAGCTGTCAGCGAGGGGCTGGGGGCGGTAGACGCCGCAGGCAGAGGGGGAGCACAGGTCGTAGCAAGACATCTTGTAGGGATGGAGGTAAGCTGCAGCACACGTCAATGACTAGACTAAGTAGAAAACAGAGACTTCAAAATTCAACAGTTTACATTAAGCTAGTGAGTCAAGTACAGGATTCTGAGTAAATAAATTGATTCCACACTTTGCAAATTTGGTCTCCTAGTATTTCCTAATCCTCTTTTCAAAAAGCAGATTTTCAAAGATTCTCTAAAAATATGTCTAGACATAGAAAGTCATATGGGTAACATTATGCCTAGCTCTGAAACTGTTGTCCCTCATGAATATCCTGCAAAGAACTTAGATATATTTCTACACATAAAACTGAGAAGCAAAGACATGGAAAACAAAGTGACTTTGTCCAAGGTAATTTGATGAGTCAGTAAGCAAACTTGGATTTGGGTTCAACAGGTTTAGAGGAGATGTAGTTTATATATGACTTAATTACAGTAGCTTCTCACTCATCTCAATTTTGCTGAGAGTTGTAGGAACAACAGATTATGGGATTTTCACTGCCTGGATTAATCAGAAAGCCATTTGACAAGACAATAAAGAACAGATGGTAATGTTATTATGCCAGTTCCCACCTACGCAGCCGCTGTATGTGTACAGCCTGGACAATTTCAAAATAAATCAGCGGTTAGTCCCTAATGTTTTTAAAAAAAATAATTTTGAATTATTATTCCTAGGACAAACCACAACTCCTTAGTAAACCCAAGAATTCAGCCTATATTGTCCCCTCTAAACTCAGTTATTTTCTCCAAGGGTTATTTTACTGTTCTCCACTCTCTATGTCCTGCAAGACTTTAGCACGGCTCTGAGGAAGAATATGAAAGCAAGAAGGTAAAGGACAGCCAGAAGATTTGCTGTACCAGGAGAACATACATGACTTTGTTAAATGCATCACTCGTTCATCTCAGGTTGCATGAACGGCTGCAGTGGTGATGCCCTTATTAAACACTGAACCTCACAATATGCAAAATTTGGAATAGGTTACATGCATCGAAGTAAGGGTAGAGCTCTGCATGTCCCAGTGTTTCTGACACTGAGAACTTTGCAGTGCTCCACACACCAAATAATCTGCCACCCCAGAGCCAGCATTAGAATCGCTGTCCCAAGACAGTGCAGATACACTCCACCATATGGACGGTGGACACCAACTGAAGTTGAAGTCAGCGATAAAAAGATACATCGACAGAAGAATCAGACTTACCCAAGTCACCAAGAAGTCAAGGGAAGTGTTTGGAAGAGCTGTGAGAGAGAAGAGCTTTTATACTGGAGCAGCTAGAGGTACAGATCAACATTGGTTGCCCATCCCAATTTCAAACACGTGTAACCCGGCGAGATGATGAAATTGCTGTGTTCGTCATTGGAGTTTATGAGTCTTTTCAAATTTGTTTGTAACAGGACATAAACATTACTTTAGATAATAGAGAATTCTTTCATCTTGTGTCTTGTCAGGGAAAATTAATACCTGGTATTATTCCTGTCACTTCATTGAAATTACAACAGGAATTCTTAAGCCAGCACCTCTTGTATTAACACCTGGAGAGTGTCTCATGGGTTTATCAGAATTACAAACTGCTGGCATGGACGGGATTTTTGTTTAAGTACATATAATTCACATTACAACTTGCCAGCACAGAAGTTAAAGACTGTCAATGCAATATGCAGGAAGGCTGGGGGTGGTTTCTGCATGACACAGCACCCTTGGGAGTCAACGACATTTTCCAGTTGTATTTGACACTGGCCATAATGGGGACAATTCAGCTCTGAAGAGCAGCAGCAATTCCAGGCACCTGTGAGATGAGCTTCGGTCTCTAAATAAGGCTTATGTAGAAATTGAAATCTAGCTTGAGCAGAAAAATGCTGAAATCCTTCGATTCAGAGCACTGGGAACTCTCTTCACGCAGATATGAGCTGAATCAGTTCCTCCATCCATCAGACACTGAAATGGTTGGATTCTCTTACAAAAATGTGTGGGGATAAATGTGCACAATTTCACATAGGAGGTGGAAAAGAAGTCTTTATCTTCCCGGGGCTTGTTTTTGTTATTCAAGAGACAAACATGGAATGAGTTTCTGAAATTAACTAAAGCTACAAAGGGACTGGAAATCCCAGAGAGACTTTTTCCAGGTATTGTTGATGTTGTCAGTGCAAAGACTGTACTTGAGAACATTTATCAGGCCTGAGTAAATCTGAGCTTTTCCAGTACAAATAGACCCTCTGGTGCAAAAAATTGAAATTTGACAGAAATGCTTTGAATTATTGACTTTGATTCACAAGGATTTATGATCTCCTGTAATACATGATTTTTTGCTGCAAGCCATAAGTCCAGAACAGGGCTGAGCTGGCAGGTTCTCCAAACAGGGAACAATTATGAATTTGGAATACACCACGCAAAACAAAGGCTAGTTGCTTCCCTTGTTTGCAGATGTATAATTTTAATACTGCAGACTCTATGCCATAGATTATCTCTAAATTATGAGATGGGTTTCTCAGCCTTTGAGGTGGTTAGAAGTTTTTTTTGGACAACAATATTTTCAAGCTTCCAGGGAGCAAGTCTTTCCAAATGCCGCAAACTATCCACTAATGGTTTGAGAATTCATTCTTACAAATAGATTAAAGGCATGTACCTGGATTTAGGAGCCTAGCAATTACGGAATGACATCACATTAAAATATGTAAGTCAAGGTATTTGTGTCCTTGATATAATTAGTTCATGGCTGAATACTGGGGATTTGTGCATCTTCGGGTTTTTTTTCAATATAGAAGTATAAAACGAAATATAAATACTTTAATAAAATACAGCATTTCATAAGCTGTATGATCAGTGTAGCTTTATCATTTTCAGTTGCACGTCAGGCCACAGAAACAGAGGATTTGATTATTTTCTTGAGGTGTTACAATTCTATCAGTGATTAGCCTTTATCCATGTAAATTATTTCTCAGTCTCTATCATGGCGTATTTCCAGATAGCTTTAGCAAGTTGCCACCAGTCATGCTTCATTTAAGTTCCTTTCTCAGGATTCTTCAACATTGCCTGACCTGAAGATGGACCTAAAGATGGATCTCCGAAGGTCAAGAGACAAAAGACTGAATGATGTAGGTGACAAATACAAACGGGAATAGGCCAGGAAGAGTAATCCAGGGCTGAATGCACAAAAAAGAAAGCAAGAGGTATTTCCTCAAGTCCTTTGTTCATCAGATGAGGCCAGCATTGTGTCCAGGAGCAAAAGCCAAACAACAGAAAGAAAACCATTTAAGGACCACTGGACTTTTCCTATGGTTTCCTTTGGGTGCAGTATTGGTCTTGCATGAAGTAGACGAGAGTGCAAATGCTGAACATAAAAATGACGACCCCAAGGTCGCTCTAGTGAGCAGGTTATCTCCAGGTATCTCCCAGCTTGGATTTAATGGAAAAAATCTGTGCACATCAGGTGCCCACAGCCACACCATAAACAGCCAGGTTTTGCCATTAATGATGGAGAAGCTAAGGAAGAGCATTAGTATAATTCTTGTTGTAACGCCAGGGATGCGAACGGAATGATAACAGGAATTAATATGACATGTAACCATTTGAGATGAAAGAGGCTTCTGTGACGAAATGCATCTATCATGTTTCACGAGACTTCAGACCAACAAACAGGCATCAGCAAAACTTTGAGGACCTACGTGTCACATTAGTTTTGGGTTTGCCCCAATGACGAACATGCACAAATTGCACCTTAGGTGATCCCCGTGATCTAGGGAATGGTATAAAAACTCTCCCAACCCAGGGCTCTTCATTCCACCTCGCTTTGCTTTGCTCTTCTCTGTGAAGACGGTAAGTATCACTCTACGCGATCTCTTTACTAAAAACCGAATATCTCTTTGCTGCTGGTTTTAATTAAGTTTGGAATCATTTGTAAGTATTCTAAGATTCTTAATAACGTTGGATTACCATGAATTTATTTTTCTTATTTGGTGCTGGACATCCATGTATTTGGTTTTAAAATGGTAAAACTAGGTTTTTCAGAAATAGTTGTTTCCTTTTAATTCAAACTTGAGGTCTCAAAGCAGTTCCCAAAACATCAGCAGAAGGCTTGTTCAGTCACTAGGAATTTTTTAAGGATTTTGCATTACCCTTTTGCTGTATGTCTATGTATATGTATGTTATTTGTTGAGGGGACAGGCTTAACCAGAAAGAATATAGGAATATTGTCTAAAGGAATATTGGAAAACAGAGATGAAACTAGGAGATTCTACCCTACCCTTTACATTGTCCTTGCTCCAAGCAGGGAGCTGGATGACCTCCAGAAGTCTGTTCTAATCTAGCATTTTATTGGTTCTAGTGGTGGACGAAAGTTCTTCAGAGCAGGGACTGATTCCTAGTCCTTCCACAGGTTTTCTTTTAGATGGGATCAGATCCTCTGGTGGCAGTCTTTCTGAAGAACTCAGATCCCAACATACCCATCCGCAGTAGGAACCTAGCCCTAGTTATCTGAACGCACCAGTTTCCCATCTGGGAAATCAGACAAATAATCTTTCTACCCACCCTGTGATTCTCAAGCTACTTTGCAAGCACTTCAGGGCAGGGAATGCCTTATTTAATCCATGTTTTTGTCACGCTCAGCATACTGGCAGCATGATTTTAGCTATTGATTCTGGAAGCACATTGCAAGTCAATATGCCAGAGTTGTTCTTCCAGCTACCCATTAATTTACCACATGAGTTTTTCTGGTTGTCAGGCAACACCGCTTTGTTTTTGATAGTATAAAACAAACATGAAATGGACTTCTAGACATGGATATGGGAAGAGTGGCTATCAAATATAGTGTAAGCAATTTGGAAAGTAAAGCACGGGATAGTATTTTTGCAGTGTTTGGCAGTGGAGCAGGACAAAAAACTATTTATTAAAAGAAACCAAGTATAAGAATCTAGGAGTGAGACCACAGAAGAAAAACCTAGTTCAGAGTGCAGTCTGGACAATGCAAATTTTACAAGAGGGAGAGATGTTGCATGAATAATACCGAAAACAAAGAAGGACAATCAAGACCTGAAAGACAAAACTACTACTCAGGTCCATGTGTCCAACTTTCAGACTGTTTTTCACATTGAATTTGTTCCTTTCATTTATTCATCAGCGTGTGCTGCAGCTTACCTCCATCCCTACAAGATGTCTTGCTACGACCTGTGCTCCCCCTCTGCCTGCGGCGTCTACCGCCCCAGGCCCCTCACCAACAGCTG